AGGTCCCATATTTATGACTTCATTTAACCTAAATTACTTCCATAAATTCCCAGTCCCAAAATACAGCCACACTGTGTGTGTGTGGCAGGGGGGTGGTTAGGGCTTCAACATTTGGATTTTGGGAACACACAAATGTTTAGTCTATAAACAGCTGGATGTTTATTTTAAGGTGGATATTAAAGGTACCAGTTACAATATTCTGGTAGGGTCTATGTTAGTGTTTAGGGAATTGCCCTAATTGTTTCCTCATTGTTCTTTTGTGGTATTAGAATTGTGCGGGTCTTTGCCAAGCCCAAGGGGAACTTTCATTGCATTTGGATTTTGCTGTTTTATGGACTATTTTTACTTTAATCTAGCTTTTAGTGTACTGCTTTGTTGGGCATGATATTCTGTATATGTTAGGCAGTTTTGCATGTATAAAAATGGATACATTCATTAAATGTTTACTGAGGGACAATTTTGTAAGGTTCTGGGCTATTTGTTGGACCATGATAAGAACAGGTGGCACACTCTTTAGCAGAACAGTAGGGAGATTGCTACTGAGCAGAGTAGGGGGGCAGGGAGGGTGGGTTCATTTCTAAAGCTGATGCAGAAGGGAACGCTTGTTATGTTGTCATCTGTAACTGATTGTGAACATTGGTGAATAGCTTCTCGCCTCAAAGTTTCCAATAAGCTTTGCTGGAAGATCTGTATTTGGAAGTGTTTGTGTACTGAGGACTGTCAGTCAGGAGTTCTAGCATTCCCCTGGGTGTAGACCACTTTAAAGTTCCACATGATCTCTACATTTGCTTTCCAGATATGCATTCTTATCAGATCATCAGCAGAAATTATTTCAGAACTCTGATTATCACAAGTGAGGTATACCTGGGGGTAGGCATGGGGGGCTGCCAGTCCTGGGTTTGAGTGAAAGAGGAAGGAGGGAATAGAAGCAAAAGAAGGGAAGGGAAAGGAGGGATGGAGCCAACAACTGAAGATGGACAGAGCAGGCACAGCTTCCTTAAGTTGCTCTACCTACCCTCTATCCACCCAGCTAGATTGCAGGGGAGTGGAAGCTGTCATGAGGTCTGAAATAAAAGAACTAAGCAGAGAAGGGGAGCAAGGTCCCTGCAGTCAGAGCTGGGTTTGAATTCTGGTTTTGCCACTTACTATATATATGACCACTCAAGTTACCAAGCCTCAGTTTTCTTATCTGGGAAATGGGAATAATAGTTGGTTAGTAAAGATAAACTGTCTGCTTCATGAGGTTGTTGAGAAACCATTGGGAGCCTTTGGTGTACATTGCTTTCACTAGAGTCTCTTTATATCCCTGTACAACACAACCACATGGCCCAGAAAGGCCTGCTGTTCTACAAAATTAAGCAAAGTAAATTGGTAACTCTGGGTTTACTTAACTAGTGATTAAATAACAGTTAAGTTAGTAGGCTATTAATGGTCCCCAGGTGTTGGTAATTCTGCTTTTGAGAGCAGTTGTATATTTCTTCTGGTACTTAAATTTTTCTTTAACAGAAAAATTGAAGTGTAGCAAATGATGCTCTCAAGAGCTGTTTTGGGGAGATTAAATGATATAGTGCATATAAAGCATTTGGTGTAGTGTCTAGCCCACAATAAGAGTGCAAAAAAGTTATCTGCTGTTAGCATTACTCAACTGGCCAACTTAGGGCAAAATCCTTTGTCCCACCACCTGGTGGCAGGTACAGCTGGTACTGTACATGATGAGAGGAATTACTAAATTGCTTGGCATTAATTCCATGTAATATCAGTTCTACCAAGTATCACAAGTCCTGAACGTCAGAGTGTGTTTTATTTGCCTAATATCTGGAATCTATATATCATTAAACAATTGAAGTGACTCTTTTTTAACCTCCATAGTTGTCATAGAATATTTTTTAAGTATTAACAGCAAGAATGAATTTAGTAGGGAAACATATGCTTACGTGCTGTTAATAGGAATGTAAGTTGGTATAACATTTTACGAGGACAAGTTGGTGATGTCTTAAAAATCTTAATGTTTTCATCTTCTGTGGCAACTAGTCCTCTTCTAGGAATTTCTCTTTAAGAAGTAATAAAGATAGGAAAAAGATATATTTAGAAAGTATATATACATATACACATGTATAAGGTATGTATAAAATAACATTACATATAATAAACAAAATAAGGATCAATCCCTTTTTCAATTTTGAGTCAGAGCTCTGTGTCCTTAGAGCAGTAATTCTTAAAAACAGTCAGGGCACTGGGAAAGTGGGCATATTGACCACTCTTGGGGCAGAGGAGCTGGGGTGGGGGATTGAGTGAGAACCTACTCTGGGAGCTATGCAGTTTAAGAACGTTCAAGTGTACCCATCGATTTCATAATAAATGCAAGATGAACATGGATAGCTTGGCAGTTAGAGATAATACAGAAAAGATAGATTGTACAGGGCATGTGCTACTAAATCTCAGTTTGGGGAACATTTGATTTATAGGGAATAGAATAATGGATGAAGGTAAAAAATTAATTTTTGGACATTTCAGAAAGAAATGGCCTGGATCTGGTATCATTCTAGGGATATTAAAGCAATATAATCAAAGGGAATTTAATGTCCCCTCATCTAACTTTGCTTAGGAACAGAGGCTAAACTGCACTTGGTGTGTTTAAATCTCTGTCTTTGGTACCTGATGTGCTGGTGTGACTGCGAGGAGGGGTGCCTGGTAGGGAGAAATTGATAACACTTCATTTTAACCTTCACTTTTGGGATGAGGTGGTGAATCGTGGGAGACCCTGGTCAGATTCTGTTGCTTTCATGTAAAACCTACACACTTGGCTCCAAATGTTAGAACTGTCTGATCTGGTCTCAGTCTAACAAATTTCACCCATTCACAGTAACCCCTAACTATAGTCACCCCTCCCTAAACTTAGTGTGTAAATAGCTGATTTGTCATAGTGCGGTATTTTTAAAAACCATAGCATCCTCCCTTCTTTATATGGAAAAATTTAGACATACACAAAGATTGAGAAAATAACCTAATAAATCTTGGTGTAACTATTTGGTGTTCAGGTACTCCCAGTTTTGGCTAGTAGGACTCCTTTCAAGTTGATTTCTAATTGTTTTGATAAGGAGTGGCCAGTTTTATTATTATTATTTTTTATTGTTTTATTATTCATGTGTGCATACAAGGCTTGGGTCACTTCTCCCCCCTGCCCCCACCCCCTCCCTTACCACCCACTCCGCCCCCTCCCTCTCCCCCACACCCCCTCGATACCCAGCAGAAACTATTTTGCCCTTACCTCTAATTTTGTTGAAGAGAGTGTATAAGTAATAATAGGAAGGAACAAGGGTTTTTGCTGGTTGAGATAAGGATAGCTATACAGGGAGTTGACTCACATTAATTTCCTGTGCATGTGTGTTACCTTCTAGGTTAATTCTTTTTGATCTAACCTTTTCTCTAGTTCCTGGTCCCCTTTTCCTGTTGGCCTCAGTTGCTTTTAAGGTATCTGCTTTAGTTTTTCTGCATTGAGGGCAACAAATGCTAGCTAATTTTTTAGGTGTCTTACCTGTCCTCATACCTCCCTTGTGTGCTCTCGCTTTTATCATGTGATCAAAGTCCAGTCCCCTTGTTGTGTTTGCCCTTGATCTAATGTCCACGTATGAGGGAGAACATACGATTTTTGGTCTTTTGGGCCAGGCTAACCTCACTCAGAATGATGTTCTCCAATTCCATCCATTTACCAGCGAATGATAACATTTTGTTCTTCTTCATGGCTGCATAAAATTCCATTGTGTATAGATACCACATTTTCTTGATCCATTCGTCAGTATTGGGGCATCTTGGCTGTTTCCATAACTTGGCTATTGTGAATAGTAGGAGTGGCCAGTTTTAAATGGACTGCATCATCATCTTGGTGGCTTGTCTGTTACTCCAAACGCTCAGAGGCTGGGAAACAAGAAGGTCTGAGAGTATGTTGGCCCTTTGCTGCAAGGGGGGCATAAAATGCTCTTATTGCTGTAATTGGTGCTGCTTTGCTACATTTCCCACCACGTATTTGAGGGATTGATCTTATAGGAAGCTTCCTGTGATGAGAAGATGTGGGAAACACACACTGGTTTCATACACTTGAGTGGAATAATTATTACTAAGTACCTGGGGTATGAAGGATGCTTACTTAACACTGTGAGGATGGCAGGGTGATTTAAGGAGTCATGGTTGAATAATTTGGAGCCACCCAAGGCCCAAGAGCCCAAAAGATAGCTGTGGAAAGACACTAGTAATACCAGGCTTCTGGAACAAAAAAGATTCTGTGTTTTTCATGTCATATTTATATGCTTGGGCAATCCACTTTATGTTTTTGGCTGTTAGTTCTTTCAATTGTGAAGTGGGGCAGTGGACTCAGTCTCTGAGTGCACAGGCCATTTTATTTTTGAAATGATAGAAATTATTTATATAAGATTATGTGCTTTTAAAAGTAGTCCTCAGACCTGAAGGATCACAGACTGCACCCCTCATTTTAAAGATGAATCTGAAGTTGCTGCATGACCCAAGTTAATAGATGTAATGATGGAAATGTCAGAACTTTTGAATTTATTTCCTTGTGATTCTGAAATCTTGGTAGTGTTTACATTATCTGTTCTATTTGATTACACAGTGTCTTCTCTTGTCTTCATATGTGAAAAAACTTGAGAGAGCTGTTGCATTCCAAAGCTGCCTGACATTAAGCTCTACTCAGTTCCCTAACATAAAATAAATTAGAGTTTGACATAGATGTTTTGCTTTTATATACCAGATATTCACAGTATGACCAAGAAAAAGGACCTGCTAGAAAATCTACTTGGGAAAATCTAAACCCTATTCCTAGTAAACTTCTGAATATTTTCCTGTGAATGTTGTAATTCAGCATTACTGGAAAAAAAAGTACTCATCCCCTTTCAAACAAGGGAATCAAGTTAGGGATTACACATAAGCAATGGGTGACATTTTTATTGCTAGAGTTGGTAATTCTTGCTTCCAACTTCTTTTTACAGGATAGCTAACGACCAGGAGAAATACAGTGGAAAATGCAAAACAACGAAATTATAAAACCTGCCAAATACTTCTCAGAGTTGGAAAAGAGCATCTTGCTTGCTTTAGTAGAAAAGTACAAATATGTGCTGGAATGTAAAAAAAGTGATGCACGAACTATTGCCCTCAAGCAGCGAACCTGGCAGGCCTTGGCCCACGAATACAACTCCCAGCCTAGTGTATCCCTGCGGGATTTCAAACAGCTGAAGAAGTGCTGGGAGAACATCAAGGCTCGGACCAAAAAAATTATGGCCCATGAAAGGAGAGAGAAAGTGAAGCGGAGTGTCAGCCCACTGCTGAGTGCCCATACCCTGGGGAAGGAGAAGATGGGCTCCATGCTACCCGAGCAGCTCTACTTCCTGCAGAGCCCGCCTGAGGAAGAGCCTGAGTACCACCCTGACACCGCAGCCCAAGGTACCTTCCTTACTGGGTACCAGTTTGACACTTTATTTTTAAAATCCTTCACTGGGAGGGAATTTGTAAGACAGAAACTTTACATCAAACTTGACTTTCCTAATTAAAAAGTCTCAGGATTATCTAGGACTCAAGTTAGTAATAATTAAGAATGAAAGTAGTTGTTTAAATCATTGTGCTTTCTCTCTTAGAGAAAACTATTACTTAAACATCAGGGACTACACTAATAAGGTGGTTACTAATGAGGCACCTCAGTTGCTTATCTCAACCTATCTCTAGTATGTTAAAGAGAATTTGATTGGAATTTATATTCATTCAGTCAATCTTTAAAAAAAATACCTTTTGAGGATTATTATATGCAAAGCCTTGCAGTAAGTCACTCAAAAGGCCATATTAAAACTATTTCAAACTTAAAAACAAAACTACAGAGACTATAATAGCAAAAGACCAATCTTGTGTTCACCCAGATTAAAAATAGTGCTTCTGTCCATTATAATAATTGTGATCTAAAGTTTTGGTTTGTGGCACTATAGTGATTTAGAGAAATTATGGAAAAAATAACTGTAATTTTAATGTACTTCCATTGAAAAGAGCAAAATAGGTCATAAGTAATTCTTAGGGAAGGAAAAGACTGCCATATTATCAAAGATGTAGTAACAACTTCTCATAGCTTCAAAAGGTTGCAAAAAGGGGCTGTTAAAATGTCTCCAGGCTGGTTGTGTGGCTCAAGTGGTAGAGTGCCTGTTTTGTAAACATGAAGCCTTGAGTTCAAACCCCAATCTCACCAAAATGTCTCCAGGCAAGTGCAGGGTAGAAATGCATAGAAAATTAATTTGCATTAATTCCTTTTAAGACTAGATGTGGCCAGTTTATATAAAGGTTTGTTGCAGTTTGTAGAAGACATATCTTGAAGCAGAGGAGAGTTGCTGGGGAGCCCAGAGGGTTACTCATAAGCTCCAAGGACCCAGTCAGCACTTGGCTGGGAAAATCTGGGTTTTGGCTTATAGGATGGGAAACTCGCTTGTCAGTGTCTCCAGAGTAGATTGAGCCACTGAGGGACTGGCTTCTGTTAATTAAAAGTCACAAGAAACTGTCTGAAACCAAGAATGTTATCTGCGGAGAGTGAGAGAGCTAATTACAGAGTGAGAGAACCAAATACATGCTTTTGATTAACACCTTTTTTTTTTTACCCCTATAGGCAAATTATCCTGGAGAGCTAAATTATTATCAAAAGTTTGCTTGACCAAGGTTAAGTTCAAGAAACTAGTTGGGTAACCTAATTAATGGTTAATGTCATGAACCTCAGACATCATTTCTAACTGCAGGAGGCTTTTGTGGGTGTTTTGATTCTTGGATTCTCAAGCCAGACTAACTCCTAGCAGACAGTGTTTACATGGGCACTGCCAACTCTCTTTGCTCCTTCCTTGCTGCTTCTGTGGGACATGGGCCCCACTACTAAATGACTGTCCTGCTTTGGAGATGTTTACAGCTTCAGCCAATTTCTCTTTATCTTGTTAGCCTCAGAGCCATTCAGTCCCCATGAGGCAGTGTAGGAAGTAGTGCTGGGGAAGGGGAGGCAGGAGACTCCATAGGGCTGCTTTTCACATTTCTTATGTTCCCTGAGCCATGTTGCTGAGAAAGATGCTGGTGTGGACTGCTTTTAGTTTGTTTTGCTATTGGATTATTGTGTGTCGATTTTATAGGGTGGGTTATTCATAGGGAGACAGTGTCATTTTCACATTTTCAAAGTCGGAGGTAAGATCTATAAAGTTTACCCCACCCTTTTTTCTTTCTTAGAAGAAATGATATAATTAATTTACTCATAAACACAACTTACAAATCTACAAGAAGAAGGAAATAAATATGGATTCTTGCTGTTCTCCCTGTAGTGACATTTGGTAGAGACTCATTTGTAAAAGAGATTTATTTTTGATCAGATGTTTGTATATAGATGACACAGTCATCTATTGCTGGTGCTTATTAAATTATAGCCATGTGCTGCCTTCCCATGTTTCCCTGTCAGATCTGGAGAACAGTGGAGAACCTTGGTACTCAGTGTGCCCAAAGTAATCTGTTCATACTAGTAGTTAACGTACTAGAACACTTTCTGCAGTTAAAAACATCCTTGAGGTTATTTTACTTATTTTGTGTTTCAGTTTACTTTCAAGGGTTGGCAGAGTGGCTCAAATGGTAGAATACCTACCTAGCAAACATGAGTTCAAACCCCAGTGCTGCCAAAAAAAAGACTAGAGTTCTCAATCATCCCTTCTGGGAATTACTGGGGAAAAGGTTGAAAATCTGCTATAGGTTATGGCCCTCATGACCTTGTGTGCATTTTTAATACATGGACTGTGTGTGTGCTTGTTTTACTTTTACACCTCTAATACTGTTCTGTCCAGTACAGCAGCCATAAGCCACCTGAGGCTAGTAAGCACTTGAAATGTGGGTAGAGTAAATTGAGGTGTGCTATAAATGTATGTGCTACAATTTGAAGACTTAATACCACAAAACAATGTAAAATATATCATTAATAATTTTTATATTAGTTACATGTTTAAATGATAATATTTTAGATATATTAGATTAAAATATATTACAAAAATTTGTGTCACCTATTTCTTTTATTGTTGGCTGAAATGAATTTGAGCTCAGGGTCTCAGGCTTGCTAGGCAGGCATTCTACCATGTGAGCCCTTTTTTTTATATTTTAGGTTGAGGTCTTACTTTTTTTTGCTTGGGGCTGCCCTCAGACCATGATTCTCTTAGCTATGCCTCCTGTGTAGCTGGGATCACAGGCATGAACCACCAAAATCCAGCTTACTAATTAGAAGGGGTTTTGCAACCTTTTGCCTGGGCTGGCCTTGAACTCCAGTTTTCCTGATCTCTACCTCCCAAGGAGTTGGAATTGCAGCCATGAGCTACCACTTGGACCCTGTTTATTTTTTTTTTAATGTGGTAAGAGAATATTCAGATTATTTATGTGGCTTATATTCTGTTTATGTTGGGCACTAATATACTAACACTTCACACAGTGCCTTTCCACAGAAGCAGACATTCAGAAATTTGTTGGAATTTGTTATAAAAATGTTAAGCAGAATGGAGCCAAGTAGAATTCCACTAGAGGCCTCCCTCTAACTACATTTTGGTGTGAGCTGGTATCACCGTGTCATGCTGATCACTATCCCATGGGTATCCTTAACCTTTGACACTGACTTTCTTAAAATATACAGCTGTATTTGAATATAGTAGTCTTAAAGTTTAAGAAAATGCTTGGGAATGTATTTTTAAGAAAAACTAGTATTTGCCCCATAAATACATTAAAACAGTTTACACTCTGAGGATTTTGTGGTCTGTGATAATTTGGCTTTGACACTTATCTTCCATTATCCTTGGGGAACAGTTGTAGAGAACAAACTAAGGGAGCCAATCAAAATTTATGAAGGGTGGCTGTGAGAGTAGGTGACAGAAGGGCAAATACATTTAAGAAAACTGAGCTTTTGAATAGCACTCAAATGTCTTAGGAGAATTTGTATTTAATTTAATATACTATTATTTTCTAGAGAGCTATAATTGAGTAATGTGAATATTTCTTTAAAAGTTCCATTATTATTGCTGTTTAATCTAATCTTATTCTTTTGGGATGGGGGTTCAGGTATAGAGAGCTGAATTGTTGTCCAGTCTTGGCACACCTGCATCATTAGTCTGTGAAAAGCCCCTCTTCTGTGTTAGGCCTGTTTATTCCTCTTTTTATCCCCACTCCCCACTTTGATTCTCTTCTCCTGTACTCTAATCAGGCAAGTATGCTTGAGTATTCTCTCAATATGTGTTTTATGTGTTATATTTTTAACTTAGGTAGAGTAAAATTTGTGCTGCAGATACCTCTGCTTTTGCTTTTTTTTTTTTTTTTAGATTAATGGTTTTAAGATTTATTCACATTGCAGTGTGTAAATCTACTTTTTCTTTCCGTGCTTTATCTCCTAAAATATGCATCCACCACGTCTTATTTATCTATTTTCTCCGTATCCCTCTTCCTTTGTACTCTTGAGAAGAACTGTAGATTGGCATGTACAGTTTCCTCCTATCCTTTCACTGCCGTAGTGAGCTTTTCCTGCTAGTACTAAATTTACCCAAATTGCCCAAGTGAGAGAACACCAACTTGGCAGTGTGCTGAGTCCCAGGAAAGCTTTGCTACCCTTTTTGCATAAAATTGAGTTGCTCTGTACTTCGGGTGGCTTTGTTTTACCTGGGAAAGAGATTACATGGTGTGTGTTTGCAGCAGGTTGCTAATCCCAAGGCTGGGCTTTTTCCAATTAAGGGAATAATCTGCTATCTGAGCACTGGCTTCTATTCACTGAAGCTAATATTTGTTTGAAAGGTAATTAGTCTATCAAGTTTCCTAGTTTTAAGTCCTGTTTCTGCCAGTCTTCTTAAGAGGCCTGGCTATCTTTCTTTAAAATGTGTATGTTAGCACACATTTAAAAAAAATAGCTTTAAAGTAGTCATTTCTTTGCTTCAGACATGAAGGCAATATAATGTTCACGGGACCAGAGAGAAATTTGGAGGTCGAAAGCTGTAATACACCCTGATATTCTTAGTAGTAGATGGTTTTATAGTGGGTACAACTCGGAGGCTGTATTTCATGGTATGCAAGTGATCAGCTAAGCAAGTAGCACACTAGGAGGCAAGGTTGTAGTAGTTAAGCTTGGGTTTTGGAGTCAGGTAGATGTGGGTTAGAATCCTGGCTCTTTCAAGCAGCCAGCTGACCATGGGTATCATATTTAGTTTTCTGTAATACTTCCTTCAGAGAGTCATTATAAGGCTTGGATGAGGAAATGTAAAGCACTAGCACCTGGCTTACTGCTCAGAAAATGATAGTTGCTATCATCACCTGCTAGGATAAGATAAAAGTGAATGTCTAGAAATTGGGAGAAATAGCAGCATTGTTAAAGGATGAACTTTGAAGACCCAGAGAGAGCAATGAGAGTAGAGGCAACAAAAATGTCTAATGTGTCCAGTGTTCAAAGAAAACATTTTCAGATCTAAGTGTAGAAAGGAAATGGATAAGGTAATGCTCTTTGTGGTTGACGCACACATCTGAGGGCCCTGGTCCCCAGAATTAACCCTTTCCTTTTCCTATGCCTTAGTCACCCACTCAGTTCACTGTTCTTTTTCACAGTTGTGTCAGATAGGGAGGGGTATGACCCACTGTAGTCAGTTCATCCAACATACATTTTTTTATGTGCCCAGTGCTGTCCCAGGCTCTGTTCTGGGTTCTACATGAGAATGAGTAACAGACTGTCTCTGTCTTCAAAGAACTCAGAGATTTGACTGGGAGGCAGCTAAACCATCAGTTTTAGTAAGTGCTCTGCCAGCGGTGGGTCCAGGAGACAGTGGGAACATGAAAGGACATTGAATTGAGGCCAGAGCAGCTGGAGTTGGGAAAGAGTCCTAGGGAGACATTTTCATTATTTCTAGATGACAAAGAAGTTTTTTTTTTTTTCACCTTTCTCTTCCAAGAGTAAGATTTTTACCTTTTCTTTAATCTTAATTAGGGGCTAGTTATGGTTACCTTACCCCTTAGAGTGAAATAATCCAAACAGTAGCCATCTTCCTTTTATTAACAGAGTATTATGAATTAGGTTTCCCTCAGTAGCCATTAACATTCCCAGCATCCCATCTTCTAGAATAATGGAGTGGACATAATAATGTAGTCAACTCTGTTAATAAATTGATATTACTTTTCTCCCAGGAGAAGATTCTCATTATCGGAAATGTAAAGCATCTCAAGGAAGCCTTGGAGTCACAGCTAGAAGACTCCATGCGTTAGTAGAGTTAGTGGTTTCCTTATTGAAATGCTCTAATTGACACTAATGTCACTGCCTTACAAAAATATCAGTGCAAGCATGGCACCTACCAAAAGTAGAATCGTTTGCATCTATGTGCTCATCTCCCTTTGTGTTCAATGGCTCAATCTATAAGTATCACTAGCCATCCACTGTGTACCAACGAGAGTAATTAGTACCCAAGGATAAAAGAAGTGAATAAGGCCTGCTGCCAAAATAATACTAGTATGTGTTGAATGCTGTTTAGAGGAGTACATAGAAAAGAGAGATCTGAGGTTTTGCACAATAAGCAAGGTTGGTCCTGAACTAGTAGCCATTGGGAGTGGGGAAGAGTGAGTGAGAGGAGACAAATAGTGAACCCAGCTTCATACTGAGAGGATTGTGAAATGCAGAATTATGAAAATAAACATGACTTTTTGAAAAATGTGAGTAGTTTTTGGTAGGATGGGAGGGTATTTTGAAGAGTAAAGCAAGGAAGATAGGAGAAAGTTAGAACTAGATTATAAGGTTCCTTAGAGTGGATTGAGACCAGGGTCAGATATGGTAACCTCAGGGGAATATGGAAAGGAAACAGGTGGGGGAGCAAGAGTCTCACACTTCAAGGAGCTTTGAGAGGAGCAATTTGAGAGGAAGGACAGAAACAGGAAAGAGTGACAGTTTACAAGCTTACAAAGGAAAGAAATTTCAAAAAAGGAACATTGACAAATATCCTTGGGATCTGAATATTGGTAGTTCTGGGAGTAACAGCCAAATACAGAAGATTAAAGAGAAATGGAGTGTGAACTAAGCCAGAGAGTGTAGACTCATCTTTCAAGGAGGAACATTTATAAGATGGCTATAAGGGCTAAACACCTGTGAGAAGGAAACAGTTATGACAGAGACTGGCCAGAAGTGTTCATGACTGAATGAGGGACTGGCAAGGAGTGCCAGTCTGAGAAAGAACTTCATCTGAAGACCCTCAAGGTTGGCATTAGGCTGTGGTCCCATGCTCATCAAAGTGGTGCACGTTTCAGTTTAGAATTGGTATCAACATCACAAGGTCTCTGACAACCACTGTTTACATAGCTTGCAGTTCTAGAAATAACATAACAAATTCCCTTGTTCTTATTTCTTAAGGGAAGATTCCTTTTGATTTCATGGGTTTAAAAAAAAAATCACATGTGGCCAGGGTGCCTGTAGATAGGAAGGTCAATGCAGACACTATTTTTAATCCATCCTGCAATGAGGGACCTTATCGTTTGAAGTAGGATTAACTTTTTTCCTCTGCCTGCAAAATCTTTGAACGTATGTTTTCTGCTACTGTTTTTCAGAATCACTTGCTGTTTCAAATAGAGAACTGTGCGATGATGAGAAAGAGTTCATACATTTTCCAGTATGTGAGGGGACCTCTCAACCTGAACCCTCATGTTCAGCTGTCAGAATAACAGCCAATAAAAACTACAGGAGCAAAACCTCTCAGGAAGGTGCTTTAAAAAAGATGCATGAGGAAGAACACCATCAACAAATGTCCATCTTACAACTGCAGCTGATACAAATGAATGAGGTGCATGTGGCCAAAATCCAGCAGATAGAGCGAGAGTGTGAGATGGCAGAGGAGGAACACAGGATAAAAATGGAAGTTCTCAATAAAAAGAAGATGTATTGGGAAAGAAAGCTACAAACTTTTACCAAGGAATGGCCTGTTTCTTCATTTAACCGGCCCTTTCCCAATTCACCCTAAGACTTTGGGAATGACTCTCTTGTAATTAATCTGTGTTGGCAAAGAAAGTCTGAAATAGGAACTTGCGGTCAGTAACCTGTAACTGAGCTACGACTAGGAAAATTAGAGTGGTAGTAGTCACTTATTTAAGAATACATTCAGGTAAACAGCTGCACCCTATGTACCCTTTAAGTGGCAAAAAAGCTGTCATGGTCTTCTGAAAGTTATCACTATGAGTGCTATAATTCTGAATGTAATGTCTGTTAATTAGAATTCATGTAAGAACCATGTGTGAGTGTTGTATTTTTTTTTAAATCAAATGCAAGTGTGACTATAAAGAAGTGTGGCTGATTTTGGTTTTTTTTTTTAAGCAGAAATTTTCTATCCAAATGAATGCCCTCCCATTGAAAGTGGCTATCTTGGGTGGCCATATGTTTCTCTAGGGGCAAAGCGATTGCTTAGAACTTGCTAGAGGTCTTTGGGGAAACCTCTGAGAGAGCTGCAGTCCTTTGTTCACTTTTTCAGTGTTGGCTTTTGAGTGTGGATTTTCTGTTTTTAAACAGTCTAGCATTTGGAAGGATATTTTCTAATGTGGCTCATAAACTGCCTTTTAAGGCTTTTCCCCAAAGAGGAGCTCCAAGAAATGTCTCCAAGAATGGTGGTTTCCTTGGAATTAAGAATGTAACAACATGAGGGTTTCATGTTAATTTGGGTTTCTACATTCTGTTATGTTTGTTTTATTAAAAAAAGACTTCAATTTTATAGTCACACTGTGTATGTTTTTTAAAGGTGCTTCCTTCCCAACCAAACAAGCTCCTTTTTTGCCTTCCCTTTGTCCTTTCTTCTGACTTTGTACTACTGAGTTAAGGGTTGCCCTTGTTTTTGGTCTCTAGCCTCCTTAGGGAAGGCCCTTCCCTTTCACCATGCTCATAGTGCTGGGTAATGCTAATGCTATGTAACTGGCATTACACAGTCAGCATTGGGATTTTTAGGGATCCATTACCAACATATTTGGAAATACCAATTAATAAATGAATGTTTTGACTGAGTTGTGATGCAACTTCTGTAGCCTAGTGTTAAAAACATTCCTGGGAGATGCAGACAGTAGTAGCTGGAAGTAGCAAAGTGACCCTTAAGTGCCAAAGCAGATGAACAATTTCTGCAAATAAGGCTTCAAGACTGCGTGGGGAAGGAGTACTTGCTGCACAGACTCTATTAGGGAGGATAAAGTAGTAGGACTAGGAGTCGGGGCCTGAGTTCTAAGCTTGGCTGTACCTCAAGTTGCTATGTGCCCTTTGGTATTTCTTAAATCTTGTCATGGTGCTACCTGACCACAGAACAAGGAAGTTGGGCTTGATAATGGTCAGAGTCTGCTTTAACTCCTTGGATTACTCATGTCATCTTGGATGGGTACTGCCAACATCATGGAAGACTTGGGCTAAAAGGGAGTAGTTATCTCTTGCAATGACCAAACTTCCTTCCTTCATAGTTTTGGATGGGTCTTGGGAACTATAAGTACTCTAAGATGCATACAGACTCATAATCTGTGCACTGTGTAAAACTTAAATGGATGTCAATTTATTTTATACACTGAATCATATTTTAATATCTTAGAAGAACTGGTTAATTATTTTAGATACATTCTGTATTCAGAGACTAGAACTAAGGATCCTTTTATAAGGAATTCTGTTATTAATTTAGTTTTTACCAAATGTACCCTTTAGAGAATGAAGCATCTATTGCTTGGCTTTTTTTCTGCTAAGATCGAATGTAAAGAATGAACCCTAAAGTCTCAAGCTTAAATCATTTGTGGAAGATAGAACTTAACTCTCTGTACCCTCCTACCTCTTCAGGATTAGGACAGCAAATGGCAGGCCCTAAACACAGATGTGAACTGAGAAAAGGTTCAGGTGAAGAAAAGGTTTTGCTTCACCTACTAATCAATCTAAAAATCTTCACAATGTATGTATTCTGGAGTGAGGCCTGAAAGTCTGCATTTGTTACATGCTCCTGGGTTATGCTGGATCTGCTTGTCTAGTCAATAGATTTCTGAGAAGCAAGGGCTTGGAAGATCCTATGAAGATTTTATTCTCTGAAAAAAAAAAAAGATCTGTGTTAGGTACATCTTTGTATACAGTGGTGTACTGGTTATTTTCTATGAGCTTATGACTTAAGCATGTAACAGTGTAGAACAACACCAAAAATGCTTGCACATAGTAGTGCATTTTAATTGAACTATACAAACATTGCACTAATTCCTCATTGAACAAATAAAAGATAATTAAGCCAGCAACCTAAAGCACCTTGCTCTACTATTCATGGTATTTATGAGCTTACAACAGTAGCTTGCAACATTAGCTATGCATTAGAAACAGTATTTTATAAATAATTAGTCCCATTGGGTTTCACTTCCAGAGGAGTCTGAATCCTTGACCTCGGCTGGCACCTGATACTCTGTATTTTTTGGAATCCTTTTAGGTGATTATGATTGGGGCTGAGAACCACTTATATAGAGTTTATTTACAAATATTTCATTTGATTTTCAATCCTGTGAAGTCCTGCAGAAGTAAGGAAACAATGCTCAGAAAAGAACTTCCTGTCACCAAGTCTGTAGCTGGTGAATGGCAGAGTAGAACTTCAATCTCAGATTTCTTGACTCCAAAACATAGCCCCACCTGCCTGCCCTCACTCCTTCCCTTGAAATCATATCAGATTTGTTTTATCCAGAGTTAGCTAACACGACAGGCTACCTGTGGAGGCATCTTCATTCACAAAGCACTGTAGTAGTACATCCCAATTCATATCACCTCTAAGCCTTTCATTACCTGAGGTGCAAATGCAAGCATTTCTTGGCAGATGTTGTAGGGAATAAACAGATAAAATTATCAAGACACTGTTCACCGTCCTGCACCCTGCCAAATGATGGACATAGCCCAGGAGGGAGGTAAAGCTTGTACAAAGGATCTGATTAGAGCATGTCTTCAAGTGTACTTGTAGTTGAGAGAAAAGACCTGAAAAGCTTGAAGGAAGGCCTGAGGGAGGGAGTGGTATTTACACTAAGTCTTTAACTTGCAACATTGGCTATGCATTAGAAACAGTATTTTTATAAATAATTAGTCCCATTGGGTTTCATTTCCAGAGGAGGCTGAATCAGTTGACCTGGGCTGGCGGGGATTTGGGAAGCAGAGGAACTCCACTAGATGCCAAGTCCTGTTGAAAATTCAAGGTGAGACACATAAATAGGAGGCAATGAAGGAAGGCCTGGGGAAAATTTCCAAACTGGGTAGTATCATGATCAGAACTGTGTACCAGGAGGAAGATTAGAAGATGAAACTGAATGGAAAGAAAACGAGTTGGGAATTCCAGATAGGAGGGTTTGGGCATGGTTAGGATGAAATGATAGGAGGATGCAGAGGAGATTGGAATGAAAATGAAAGACACCAAGGTGAAGGACACTGCTTAAGTGGAATCAGTAAGGCTTGGCAGTTGATGGCTTTCATTGGAGAGGAGAGGTAAAATTTTAAAGCTAGGTGCTTGAAAGGTCATGTTGCTGCTGATTGAAATGAAGGAAAGAAGGATGCATTTGTGGCTCTTACCTGTCTTAGGCAAGACCTAGATGAAAACTGGTGCTACTGCCATCCTCCCAGCCCAAATGTCCACACTTCCATTCATCTCTTCTTTGGCTATCATATCTCTACTCTGACATTGCCTCTTCAGCTTCCTGTGCTGCCTCTCCCATCTGTTCATCTGACACTAGCCCCTCCCTGCTGGGTCCTTGGTCACCCCACTCATTTGGTATTACCTCTGCCATCAATACCCCTACTGCAGCTGGTGCATTTCATTCATCGTCTCTTATATTGTTTCTACACTAGAACAACCAGGAAAAGGTTCTTTCTTTCTCATGAGCCTCATTCTTCTCTAGCTAGCTGGCATTCACAAATTTCAGGGTAGGTTGGTTTTTTTTTTTTTTATGTCCCATATTAAGGAGCATTGGTTGGGAAGGGCTGGTAATCACCATGCAGGCTTATCATGGCCACTTTACAAAATCAAACATGGAATCTTACCCAACAGGAATCCTACCTAATGTATAAAGGTTTCAGGAAATGTTTTAGGGTTTTTGTAGGGAGGATCTTAAGATTCATTTTGTTGTTGTTTTGTTTTGTTCCAGAAGAAACTAGAAAGGCAGAGGAAGAGAGGTGGCATAGTGGCAGAGTACATTAGAGTTGTCAACAGTCTCTGCAGTGTCAGGTCAATTACATCAGCACTTGGTCTGGACCAGAGGAAAGGAATGATTCTGCCTCCTGGGAACGTCAGAAGGACCTGATAATTATATTTGGCAAAGCCATGAGGAGTGACTCTGTAATGTCATTGCTAAGAATTACCCTTTTAATAGCATTTCTGGATGTCTGAACTTTCAGATGAATGACACTTTTGCTGTGGCTTTATTTTCTGTTGGGCTGGTTTCTGGCTAGTCCTCTTGTTCCTCCTTGCCTTTGCTCTATATCAGATTGTATTTTCTCTTTTATCATCTTTTTTCCCAGCTCTGTTTCTCTAGCTCCTTCTGTGCTTACATTGGCTTCCACTCTCTCCTGGTCGGAGGTGGAAATGTGTGGCAATGTACAACAAGGGGATTATTTGTCAAAGTAACTTTCACACTCAGCCTTAGACTACCAAACTGTGGATGGCTTGCTTCCATGCTGAGTCTGCTACTTTTGTGTTAGTAGGACTCAGAGGTCATGGGAAAGGTCATCATTATCCCTGACTACAACAGATTTTTTTTTTCCCAATTGTGCCATATATTATACCCTTCAATCTCTGCCTCAGTTTCTCCATCTGTGAAAGTGGTATAATACTTATCTACCTCCCTTGAATGTTGTGAAAATAGTATATGTTGGTAAAAACGCTTTTAAAATAAAGAATCATGTAAAGCATTTTAACATTACTGTTGTCATTGGGCTATGGATGCCCTCCTGTAAAGATACTACCCTGTAGAGGAAGTATCCCAAGTGGACTAATATTGTAGGAGCACCCAATATATGAAACTTCCATAATAAATACAAGAGTATGATTATTTTCTTTATGAAAAATTTCAACATGGCATTTCTTTAAATAATCCTTTGGTACATTTGGAGTGACATTCAATTTATAGAAATATGATTTATGCAAAAATTTAAAAGAATACATCTATTGAACCTGTGTTGCCTGATATAATTTTTGGGTTTACAAGCTGATTTTTAGCCTAATGGTGCAGTTTGTCATCATTAGGTGAAAGCTGTGCCTACATT